TGCTGATACAGTTTTACAGAGGAATTGTCTGTTGTCTATTGTCTGTTGCCTAAAACACACTGAGAGCCTCTGTGCCGGAGACAAATTTCTTCTATGCTCAACATACTTAGCAATTAAAGCAGATTCTGATTCTGATAGTGCTAACACAAGAGGCAGTGTGACATTTATCTTCACATGTCACACTGACTAATCCATATCTCTGAGTAATGTCTACTCACCGTCTCTGGAACATAACCACTTTATCAGCCTTCAGGTCAGACACATCCAGTTTCTGGCCCTTCTCAATGACATCAGGATGTTTGCGAACCAGCAGCCAACCAATGTGGGAGAAGAAGAACCCCCGCTTGGCATTGTGGGGGTCTGCATCTGTCTCAGAGTACTTGTGGTGGGCACGGTGGTCCCTCGACCACTCATATATGTCATTCTGCACACACAGAGACATGCACAGATAGAGAGAATTACACGAGGCACCAGTCAATATGTATGGAAGCTTCATACAATCACAGTAAGGTCTAGGATCATGTGGTAACAATACAAAAAATGTAACACAAATTACATTCATTTTACTGAAATCTGAAAATTGTTTTAGGATTTTTTTATGTTTTACCTGAAAAGCCATTGAGTTGCAGAGAGCGAGGAAGATTCGCAGGGGAAGTGAAGCCTTATATGATCTGTGGCACCATAACCTGTGAGCACCAGCAGTCACACTGAGAGCACTGAAGAGGTAGCACACTGCAGCTGGAAGAAAAGGTGGAAAGCACAGATATCTTAGGATAAACTGGCACCACTACACTGAGATTAATTTTACACCTGTGTGAGCATAGTCACTGAGAGTCACGATGCTCTTTCCATTACACTCAGGAATCTTTGTTCTGAGAAAAGCCATCTATGTTGGCAGATGGGATGGTGGGAGCATGCAGGTCCGCCCTCACACTTTTGTTATTCTAAAACTGCTGAATGTGTTTCTATGTGAAGTCCAGACAAGACTACCCAGGATTTGAGAACTGGGGACTTCTTACTGGCAAAGACCATTCTGTTGTGGTGTCATGAGACTCACAATGGGATGCCTATGGGAACAGTGATTGTGCTTTGTCTTCCCCGGTGAATCAATATGCAGTTCAGCATAGCAAAGAGAGGGAAAAATTATGCAGTGCCAGAATGGAAACAAAGTTGAGACTGCTCAAGAATTTGAGCCAAGCCTATATAGTCTACAAATATAGGGCACAAATTCACATTATTCAACAAAAAGTTTGGTTAGCACAACTGAATTTCAGATCATTTTGATTAGGATATGCACACATTCCAACAATCGCAAACAGCCTACATTCAGCCACAGCTCAGAGCCTTTAGAGAGGGGACAAATAGATCTGGAGGCTTATGGCATCATGAAAATGATATGCTCCAGTTAGCAGTGATCACACAACATCAGGACATTCTTCTCTCAAACTGTGGCCTGCAGGGAGGAAACGAACAATAAAATGTTCTTTACTACATACTTACTCCATGCAAGAGTTAAAGCCGATGCTGAGGGAATAAGAGTCAATCCATAGAGGGCACCCATATGCAGGAGTGTCATCAGTATTATATTTCTCCACACCAGGATCATCGGCGGTTTCGGACCGTCTTTCTCTTTATAAGTGTCGTCAAAAACATCGTCTACCGACGGGGTTTCTGTTATGGCATCTCCGTTCCGGTGCTTGGCGCCGTGATAGCTCCCGTTTTCCATTGCGGTCATTTTGCTGAAGGGATTTCTGTAACATTGTGCAACAGGTAAGGTGAGAGATGCTGCTGCTCAGTTCAGTGCGCTCAATGGGATGCAGAAAAAGAGAGAGGGGCGTACAGCGGCTGGCTGTGCACAGGCAGCAGTTCACGGTTCAATGCTCCAGCTGCTGCGCCAACATCGAAAGTAGCCGCTACACTTTACACTTTATGATAGTAGGTTTATCACTTCCCACTGGCACCAGTTCTTACTGTCATATCCTTGTAATAATTATACAGAGTGAAATTTATGCGCACAGTGTTTTATAAGACAATATACCACTGCTTGTCTTTAGTGTCATATGGAGATGCTCTGTGGTGAATTAAGTCTACCAGGGTCAGGACAACCGCCTGGGGACCCCAGTAACCCCAGGTTTAGGCTACAAGTCTATAGAGTCTATGCTTAATTGCAAATTGAAATATTTGTAACCTACTACTGACATAGATTAGGTGAGATGGGACGACGTGACTTTTTCTTGTGTAGTAGCCAGTGGTGGCATATGCCAGTAAAGACTCGTAATACACCGTTACGAGGTGCTCATGTTTATAAAAGCAGTGACATTTATCGCTAGCACTTAGAATCGTCATATCTCTCTAAAAATGCCAGTTCAGGTTATTTAGATTTTAAATGAAAACGTACCCTGGTTGAGCCTATTCGCCGTGCGCTCTCCAAATATTGGGAATCCTGGCGCAATGTGATGTAGTCGAAATAAATCAGCGTTAATAAATCAGTGCGTTGATCCCTCTTTTATAAAACCCTCTGCAGATGTTTTTTTTTTTAAACAATTGGTCGATGGCGAAACTGATGCCAGGTCAGAATATCCCATTGGTTGTTCGCTTAACTGCTCTTTGCCGCCCTCTCTGTTTCTTAGCCCATCATATAAGGAATCCATAATCGCCCAATCTTTCAAATCACCGCCCAGATCTAGACAATCTCTACTCTTTAATCGGAAGATAAGCAGGAGTTCGGAAAGAATGATGAGCTCATACCACCCCATGATGTCCTACAACAATGAGGCCACTCCTGACCCTTTAACCCACATGTCATCCTCCAAGCAAGTACAGGCACTGTGAGATTCAAGTGGAACTTAACTTTGTTTTACAAGCTTCAGTTAATTTTAAAACTAGTCTACACTGGCATCATTGCAAAATGTGTTTAAAATAACAAGTTTTGGCAGATACAGTGCATTGTACCAGTAGAATACATTAAAATGATTCAGGTATTGACATCAAGCTTCAAGAATAGGCAAAAAAGCTTCTTAATGAGAAAAATTAGTGGGTGTTTGTATGTAACTTTGTGACACTGGTGTGATTATTATATATAACACACTACTTTGTTTTCTCAACAACTTGCCTTTGGTCAATAAACCACAGAAATGTAAGATGATTTCTTCAAAAGTCTGATTTTGAACAGAAGCAGAAAGAAATAAAATATGACACTCATTCACATGAGCAGTGTTGTTGGGGTCAAAAGTTCCCTGTTTACCTGCTAACCCTGGCATGGACAATTTTGTGCATGAACATCATCATCCCATTACAACACTCAGATAAAAAATGAATTATCTTCAAGCCAAGGTCACCTTGAGGCAATGTACGGCTTAAGCAGTAGTAACCTCACAGTAACAAAACTTGGCCACCAGCACTGCACACACATTATATAATGACCTGTAGTGAACTGGAATGTCTGCAGTGAGCCCACACATTGAGCAAACGCAACTGTTAGAAGCCATTGTCTACTAAAAGGAGGAAGCCATGGATGTTGTAATGGCACCACCTACTGCACAAATACAGCTACTACAGAACAGAGAAGGGCAAGTTGAACGCCCCCATATGAACATCTAACCTAATCTGATGTGACAGCCCTGTAGTAAATGTTACATCTGTGAAGTTTACAGTGGACAAATGTGCCACAGACCAAAGATTTTCTCAAAAAAATAGGTAAATAATTAATAATATAATTTGTTGCATCCCTACAGCAGGGCCATGAATAGAGATCTAATCAAGAAACTACGTGAAAACACCTGTGAGGGTGAACCACAGGAGGATTTGTTGTAGGTACTTAATGAAACTTTCCATTCTCATCTAGCAAACAATAGATCAATCCTCACTCCCCATTAGCTTTGTAAAGCAACCAGAGGTTCTGGTAAAGGGTTCATGTTCACTTTTGAACAAAAATATTTGCTACCTCTCAAAAAGTAGCACCAATTCACAGTGAGGAGTATGTGGGAACATGTCCACAGATAGTGATGGCCGATGAGGCCTTGTTGAAGCTTCGACACAGTGTTCACACAAATGGTTCATTACTCGAGGCCTCAATGACACAGTGCTCAAGTAGGACATCTAGTGGTCAAGAAATTGAAATGCAGTCAAGACGTGTCACTTATTGCTTCATAGATTGGGATTTGATTCGCCATGCACATTCCTGTTCGACTACACTACATGGTTGTATGGTTTCAAGCTGACACAATAAAATATAAAATAAATATGGACACATGTTGAAGACCACATTTCTTATGTGGCACGTCTGACTGTAACCCTATATACTCCTCACTTATATTTTGTGTTATGAAGACATTTAAATGGTGCTGCTACGTTCATGAGATGTGGTCTACAAATTCAGACAGATGTCACTTTCACATGGGGCTGGTGCAAATGTGACTGGTGGACTTCTGCGTTGTGTTGTTGCTGGGGCGTGTGTGGTGGCCGAAGGACCAACGAAACACCAGGACTGCATTTGGAGGCGCGCTCTGTTTAATCTGACAACATGAAATAATAATCAGCACCTAGCATATGCTGCGGGACCTCAAGCCCAATCTATATAAAAAAAAAAAACATCATGTTAGTGTGTTAGCATACATCGCTGTCGGAATAATGCTAAGTAATTAGCACCGGCAAATGTCATAACAGCGTAATAACAGTACATGTATGAGTATCAACAGTCATCGGTTATGCAGAAGAAGTAAAAATAAGGATGTGGGCACAAGAAATAAAAGGATTACAACAGATAATAAACTGACCTCTTCCCAGTGGAACATATCAAAAGGGAAGAGGGTATGACACAACATTGTATTTATATGACAGATGGTGGGACAAACGAAGAAGAAACAAGGCGGAGCTGGAGGTCGCAACCCAATACACAACATATAGGGAACACTTGGGCTCTGGATGTCAGGTATGGATAAACAGTGATTAAACCTAATAAGCAACTTTGTGTAATTATATGTTATAAAATGGTGACCCGGTTACATTCACCCCCCTAGAATTACACAAAATTACAAAACCATACAGCAAAGCACCTGCAAATGACATATACTGGTCAAAAAGGAATATATGACCACAAACGTGGACAAGGCTGGAATGAGGAGCCATCTGCTCAAAGACTGAGAGGCCATGGAAACCAGCTAAACAAATCATGGTGCCTTTTACACCACACGAAATGACCATTTACAATATGCACAAAAACATGGACACACTGTCCAAATGAGCAACAGCAAGTACTCACTAAAAGGAAAAAACATCACAATCTGTGACAACTTCTGTGTTACAAGAGGAACAAAGAAACAATGAGAAATCAGATAACAATAACTGGAGACTGAAATTTCTCATCACCAAAAACAGACTCAATCTGAGTCATAGACTCAATCAACCGACAGACTGGCCTAATGAGTCTGCCAAAACGTGTAGTAAGTCTGTGGCCCAGGTCAGTGTCTTGTGGGTCATTAGAGACACCTGGGTGACTTCGTAACTCATAAGAGGGAATCAAAGGAGCACCAGCACCAGCCCACCCAACGAAGGCAGGAGAAGACTCATCAGGGGGAGGCAGACCTTCTCTTTCAGCAGGTGAATGATGCCTGACCCAGGATGCAGTACGGTCATCATCAACCTCACTGATGCTCGGAGGAGTCTCATGATGGTAAGTCATAGCCAAAGTGGACCCTCCATCTACCATAGATGTATCTGGCTTCTCAGGGTCAGTGACAACACTAGCTGTGGGTTGATTCTCCAAGACATCCAGTGACACGTCCAAGGGCAAGAAGTTGACTTGAAGGAGAAGGTTGCGGTGGACTGTGCGCTCATTCCCAGCCAGATCTCTGATCCTGTAGATGTGAAGGTCAGGCTTGCAAGTGACCACATTGTAAACAACAGGCTCCCATTTGTCTGACAGTTTGCGTTTGCCTCTGGCTCCCTTGTTTGCCACCAGCACCTGGTCTCCTACCAACAGAGGTAATCCTTTGACTTTCTTATCATACTGCTCCGATTGATGTCTCTGCTCATCCGCGCTGTTATCCTGGGCCAGGACCATGGCAGAACGAAGATCATACATGAGTGACTTTACGTAGGTGTCATAGTCGCAAATGCTGTCATCGTGAAGAACGTTCTTGAACATAAGG